AGGGGAAGGGCAGAGGAAGAGGGAGAAGCCAACTCCCCACTGCACAGAGAGCCCAACATGGGTGCTTGAACCCAGGACCCTGGGATCATGACCTAAGCTGAGTCAGATGCTTAGCCAACTGAGCCACGCAGGTGTCCCAAAATGGACATTTTATCGCAAATGTATGTTTGAGAAAACTCTCAAACTTCTATGCCAAAGGCTAAGCTTATCTCTCTCTCTCAATTTTCTAATTTCTCCCCATTTCAGTTTCCTGGGCAGTCTTCTGCCCAATCATAGATCTCCCTTTTCTTCTCAATACTTGAATTCAGGTACATTTCTCTTTTGTTCATCCATATATTAATTCAACAAGTACTTCTCAGCAGCCTGCCATGTGTCAGCCATTGTGCTAGGCCTCAATGTACAAAGATAAGTTAGGCTTGAGGAGATCAGTCTTATTGGGGGGGGGGGGGGCGCAGAGCCATATAAATGATGACAATATAATGAGGTAAATACTATAGTAGAGGCTTCCAGGCAAAGTCCCCACTAGAATGTAATAAAAAATGCAAAGTGCCACAAGAGTTGGGGGAAAGATTTCTGACAAAATGTAACATCTGAGCCATCTTTTAGGACAAACGGTTCAACCAGGTTGCAAGGTGGTAGAGCTGGGGGAGAAAGAAGGGAAACAGAGGGAGTTTGTGCTACGTCTCAGAGGTATGAAAGGACATGGCACATCTGACAGGGTGGTAGGTGAGTTCAATGTGACTGGTGTGTGGAGGAAAAGCATGAAGACCAGCGCTGTTCAGTATACCTTTCTGCAGTGATGGAAATGGTCTAAATCTGTGCTAATAAGGTAGCCACTAGTCACATTTGGCTATTGAACACCTGCAATGTGGCTAGAATGACTGAGGAGCTGAACTTTAAATTTTATTTCATTTTATTTCATTTAAATTTAAATACCATGTGGCTACTTTTTTTTTTTTGACAGAGAGAGAGTACAAGCAGGAGGGGCGGCAGGCAGAGGCAGAGGGAGAGGGAGAAGCAGGCTCCCCGCTCAGCAGGGAGCCTGACGTGGGGCTTGATCCCAGGACGCCGAGATCATGACCTGAGCCGAAGGCAGACGCTTAACCGTCTGAGCCACCCAGGCACCCCACCATGTGGCTACTATTGAACAACATTGGTTTAGGCACTGGATAAAGGACAGGACTCTAGGCACTAGGGAACCACTAAAGGTTTTTAAGCATAATACTAGCATAACTAGATATTTGAGGAAAGGAACACTGGCAGCAGGGATTAGAGGGTAGATGACTTAACACAGAAATGCCTGGTAGGCACCAGCCACGTGGATGGAATAAATGGGACTTACATGTAATTGGTACAATTTACCGGACTTTGTAACTTTGTCAGTGTGGGGAGTCTAAGTGAGAAGACTCAACTGAAGTTTGCAGCTTGAGCAATGGGTGGATGGCAACAACAGATAGGATTAGGTTTGGAATGAGGGTAGAGTTTGCTTTGGGATATTGTTGACTCAGGTAACTAAGAACTATCTAAGACGATATGACTACAAAACAGGAAAAATATTAATCTACAACTGTAGGGGTGGGGCCACAAATATATTTGGGAGTTATTAGCATATAGGTGGTCGCTAAAGGCATGGGAGTGGAGGAACTCATCAGAGGAAAAATATGTAGAAGAGGACTGGATGGACCCTAAGGGACCCTAAGCAATCAAAGTGTGGTCTATTTTGGTTTGCCAAGAGTCACCTGGGGTTTTTTTAACAAAAAACCGATTCCTCATTGTGAATGTACTTAATGCCATGGAATTGTACACTTAAAAACAGTTAAAATGGTAAATTTTATGTTATATACATTTTACCACAATAAAAAAATGCAAAAAAACACTCAAATCTAGTCAAACCAAACCGATTCCCAGACCCCATTCCTAACCTGAATCACTGTTTCTGGAGATGAATCCAAGATTCTCCAGGTAACTTAAGTTCAATTAAAATTTGAACTAACTGCTTTAAGAGTAGAGAAAAACTAAGAGATAGCTATGAAGAGAATAAAGGGAGAAGGGCACGGTGAAGAAGCCAAGGAAGAGCAGTTCAAAGAAGTTCAAAGAAGGTCAGTTGTGCTGAATAGTGCCATGACCCAGGAGGAAGACTGAACAAGAAGCCTCAGGATTTGGCATTGAATGGGAAATGAGAGAGCAGATGCTGTGGGGTCTATTCTTTCAAGAGCTTTGCTCATGTTTGGTGGTAAAGAGATGGAGGGAGAGACTGAATAAACCTGAAGGGAGACTGGACAGACAAAAAGCTGGTGGTTTTCAAGATGAGAGAGAATTGAGCATGTTGGCAGGTGGACAGGGAGTCAATGAGGCCAAGGATACACCAAGGGGATCCTCAAGAAAGCACAGTTTGGGAGAGGTAGTGGAGGTTGGGATCAGGAATTCGGGCAGAGGTTATTTGGGTAAAAGCTCACTGAGTAAGTTCAGAAGTGAAAAGGAGGGAAGATGAAGGAGTTTAAGACTGAGGGCAAGAAAAGACTTCCTGACACAGCTAACAAGAATGGCGCTGGTTGGTGGTTAGGTCATCTGTTTAGATTAATGGGGCAGGGATACAGAGTCAAGAACCTGCAGAAGGGTAAAAGTCTAGAAGAGTCACTAAGATGAAAGTGATCAGGAGCAGGAATATAAAAAGACTGAAAAGTAGTACTGGAGTCTGAGATTGGAAATAGCACCAACCACATAATTATCCTGCACAAAATAGAAAAATTGGTTTTCCTAAATGAAGGTTTTGGTTCCGTTCTCCTATCGTTTAGGGACTGCACCAGTTTTTGCTCTCTCATGCATAAAGTTGAAATTCTCTAGCAGGAACTTTTACTAACTTCTCCATCAAAAGGTCGAATGTCTAACTGGTGGTTCAGACTCTCTTATTCCCTACTCCTCCTATAACTTCAGAAAATAATAGGATCTTAAGGATTTTGAAGCTCATCAATCTAGTCTCCCTTCTTAGCTAGGTATATTTTGTTTTCTCATCTTCTCTCCACCAAACAAATCTTTCTCCATCTTCCACTTTCCCTTGGACTCAACTCATAGGTATCAAAACCTGACAAACATCAGTGACACCTATCCCATAGCATTGATGCTAAAGTCATCCAATTGTAGACTGCATTTTATGCCTGCTTCCCTCCACATATTCCCACCCCCATACTGGTATGCTTTGGCAGAGGACGCTAACAAAAGAAGTCCTGAATTAACTTACTCTCTGGCATGTTTTCCATTCTGAGCTTGGGTGAGGTTCTTTTTCTTGAGCTGAAACCTCCCCGGATAGAGTGGTTAAAAGCAGAAGTTTCCTACCTACGCCAGAATCACAGGGCATTCTAAATCATATTCAAGTCACTTTTATTATATATAATTATACAGTCCCACTTCATTAATTTCATTTGTACCAGCTGGATATTGGGTTCATAATTTAAATCTTTTAAACATTTTATAAATGCTAGTCAGTGCATTTTGGCCAGTATCTGTTACCTGTTGTGCTGAACCTGGGCATGTTGGAGACTTGACCTGCTCTGGAAAGATAAGATGTTTTTCTTACTAACCCTCTCCTTTAGCCAGGCCAGTGACTCTTCATTCCAGATTGTATTGTGAGGTTTTGCCTGAAAGGCAGGATGAGTAAGTCCAGAAAAAGCCTGAAGAAGCCAGATTAGATTCAAGTTGCCCATGAAACTGATACATTCTAAGGCTAGCCTGGTATAAGTCTCTAACCACTAGAAGCAGCCCCTTCCATATCCTAGAACCAGGATCACTTTCTCTAGGCCATCTCAATCTGGATAACCCAGCTCATTGCTCCACAGATACATTCTCTTCCAGGATCAACTCAAACAGTAGGGAATAGATACTGATTCTTTCAATTGTATGTCTTGGACAAAAGCTTCTGCCACGTTTTGAGGCTGCCTTACAATCATGAATTAAGGCAAGTTAACCTAATTCTTAGTATTCAGTATCTCTTTCCTGGTCTTCCTGCCCTCCTGTCTCACTGTCTCCAGAATCTTAATCTGTTCCTTTCTTTCCCTTCCTCTGTCAGTAATTCAGGAATCGGATGAGTCTCTGGTTTGTTTTGCTCTGAAGAGCAGAAGGCTTCGGTCCCAGCTGGTGTTGCCAAAGCAGCATACTAATTCCATGCCATGGTCCTGGGTCAAGATCTGCACAATCTGATTAGCCATATCACCTCGGATGGCAAGGGAACGGAAGTGGTCAAAATCATGAAGACCCAGCTTCCGGAGACGCCTTGCAGCTGCCCGGTAACACTTCCAGGGCTGTGGCTCCACAAGGAGGTAGCGGCAAAGGGAGGAAAGGTGACCCAGGAACTCCCATAGGCCATGGTCCCCGTGGTTCAGATGAATCCACATGGTTATTGACATGCAAAAGCCAATGTCAAAAACTGAACGTCCAAACTGGTTTAAGAAAGAGCTCAAGAGAACTTTCCGGGTCCTCTGATTCATAAAGTCCAGGGTGATAAAGGTCAGGGCATCAGGAAAAGGGCATTCTTTTTCAGCTCGCTCCACCAGGACTGGATCTATGTCGCAGCAGAGTAGATGGAGTTCTCTTGAGGCATCTGAGCAGGTCTCCCCATCACGTAGGGAAAGGAAGTGTTTGTACAGAGCCACACTCAGATCCTAGAGAAATCCAAAAGAGCTTTGTCATTGCAGCTCTCAACCAGTGAATGTAAGAAAAACCTCTATCTCTTATCATCCCATTGGACTGTCACTTACCCTTGGCTTTATAGGATGTGAAGCTCCTAGGTTAAGCAGGTTGCCCAAAAAGTTTTCCACAGAGCAGGTTCTCGGCCCCCTCCAGGGGTCTCAGGCTATAATGTGTCCTCTCTATACCTTCCTGACATTGATGGTACTTTGGGTTGTATGGTTGAAAGTTACAGCCAAATGAATGCAGCAAAGGAGCTGAGAGCAGTCTTTCCCACCTTAAGTAATATGCTGGTAAACTCACTTTTTTTCTTTTTTTAGGTATCTCAGACCCTAGGGAGGAGGAAAGAGTTCCAAGGGCATAACCAGTGTCCCTTACCAGGAAGGTGAGGAACAGAGCAAGCACCAGCTTATAAAAATCTGCTTTTCAGACTTGTAGTTGGGTAAGTCTGGATTCCAGAGATTCCTCATTTAGCCTTCGCTCTACAACCTCAATTTTACTACCTGGCTTATGCTTCACTACCCCCTTCTGAGATTTATTCTGCTTCTACATCCATTACTCCCAAAAGTCACTGCTGATCTTCTTCCTTCTAGCCAAGTCTAATGATTTGTGATTTTCACCATCTCAGCACCTTTGACTCTTAAACAAGTCACCATCTCCTTTCTCTAGCGTTGACTTCTATAACCATTATAACCAATTCAAATTTATGTTGTTCTAATCCATTTTTTCAAGGCATTTTTATGTATCACCTCCTTTTGCTCTGTGCAACAATCCTGTAAGGAAAATACTTAGGCCTTTTTGCAAGTGAAGAAAGTGTGGCGGGAAATCACCTAATGTCCAATAATAGTAGCATGGATACTTAAATGTGGTATATTCATTAAGATGGAATACTAAATAGCAGTTACAAATGAAGGAATTCAGCTCAGTGCATCAATATGGATGACAATGTTGAGTAGATAATTCTGAGTAAAAAAGCAAGACACAAAACAAAATACATGGTAAGCTTCCATTTATATGAAGTTCAAAAATGGGTAAGATTAAACTACATTGTTTAGAGATACAAAAATAGTGAGCTATAAAGAAAAGCAAGTAAATAATAAAAATCAGGCTAGTTGTTACCTTTGGGTGGAGGGGGGTTTTATGAACAGGGGAAGTGATATAAGGGATTCATGGGGTACTCACAATGTTTCATTCTTGATCTGGACTATTGTGATAAAGGTGTCTACATTATAATAATTCATAAAGTGTAAATTTATGTTTTATGCACTCTTCTGTATGTGTGGCATAGTTCACAAAAAATTCTGTATTTTAAAAATTATGATTCAGAGGCTAGTGACTTGTCCAATGTCACACATAGTATATGGAATGATTTAGGCTATATTAGATTCTTTCCTCTATACCAGGCTTCTCACATTTTAATATCCATATTAATAATTAATGATATGCATAACACCTATGGATCTTATTAAAATAAAGCTGCTGATTTAATAGATTGTGTGGGGGGGGTACTGAGATTCTGTGTTTCTAGTTTGTTTTTTAAGTAGGCTCCATACCCAGCATGCAGCCAACTCGGGGCTTGAACTCACAACCCTGAGATCAAGACCTGAGCTGAGATCAAGAATCGGACCCTTAATTGTCAGAGTTACCCAGGTGCCCCCTGAGATTCTGTATTTCTAATAAGCCACCCAAGTCATACTGATGCTGTAGATCAAGGACCACATTTTGAGTAGGAAGGTCCTATACTATGCTGCTTAATTTTCTCCCCATTTCCATACTTATTTCTATTCTGACTCCCTCTTCCAATCTGATTTTGGGTATGCCAGTTTGACTAGTCATTTTGCTACATCAGTCACTCCTCCACATCTCTTCACCCTCTCCATCCTCAATTCCCCAATCTCAGAATACCCTAGAAGCTTAAAAAAGAAAACATAGGGGTGCCTGGGTGGCTCAGTTAAGCGTCTGCCTTTGGCTCAGGTCATGATCCCAGGGTCCTGGGATGGAGGCCCACATCGAGCTCCCTGCTCAGCGGGGAACCTAATTCTCCCTCTCCCTCTGCCTGTCGCTCCCCCAACTTGTGCTCTCTCTGTCAAATAAATAAATAAAATCTTAAAAAAAAAAAAAAAAAGAAAAGAAAATACAGACTCAAGGGTTCAATCACCCAAGATCCTGAATCAGTTGGTCTAGAGTGAGGCCTGGGCGTTTTAGAAATGTAAATAAAGCACCCTATAAATTATGGTACATCCATACAATTTTGAAGCTGCTAAAAAAGAATGTAGTGACATGAGTGACCTCCAAATTATCAAGTGAAAAGCAAGGTGAAAAACAGTGTGCTACTATGTATAAAGCTAAAAGAGGCAGGATATTTATACATACATAAATGCTTGTGTACACATAGGGTGCATATCCAGGAAGTTATAAACAGCGGTTGCCATTGTGTAGGGGTAAAGGAGAATTTAGGGTCAGGAGTAGAGACTTACTTTTTATTACATGCCTATAATTTGCAATCACAGGGTCAGAATGTCTGCTCCTCTAGGATATGCTAGTAGTTACAATAGGTGTCAGAGAGACATTTCGATATTCTGGATGTGATTTCACTATAATCACTCTACGCTTAAGAATACTTTGCGGTAAGAAGACGTGGCAATGCCTTCCTCCACTAGGAGGCTGTATTCTCCCTCTCGATCCTCTCCACTGTACTCAGTCAACTCATTGCTTTTTAAATAAATATCCACTTGGCTCCAGGGTCCATCCTACACTATATGGCACAGGAGTCTTAATTCCAAACATGATTCAGTCACCCCGGCTCATCTCTCCCAGTAAACCAATCCCAACCCTACGCTCCCAAAGGTGAGTCTCCGGAAGCCCCGTCTCTGAAGCCAGGTCGCCAGCTACGCTAGACAGGAGGCAAGTGCCGGAAGCCCAAATACGGTGACCCTTCCCACGTGAGGTTTGGCCGTGAGGTGGCGAACGCACGGGTGGGGACGCAGGAATTTGGAACGGAGTTAAAAATTATTCCTCCCCAAGATTCCTAAGAGAGATGGTGGTGGGACCCTAGAGGTCCGGTAGCAGCAGCACGGGGCTGACCCACGCGACGCCTTTAAATTCTTTTTGGAAAAGTCGTGATGGGTGTGACCGCCATGCCCGAACCAAAGCCCCAGCGAAAGCGGAGGAAGCCAACTGCTCGGCTCCCCAACCTCCGCCCCCGCCCCCGTCACTCACCCCAGAGTTACACCCCACGTCGAGCCCCAGGATCGGCCTCGTTTCGGAACTCTGAGGAAAGAGCCGGCGAAGCAGCTCCGGGGGCAGGAGGCGGAGCCGTTGTTCTGGAGGATGGAAGCGGGAATAATGAGGGAAATTTCCAAATGGGGCTGCCCCGGGTTCCAGAATTCGCGGTTCCTCGTCCGCCGCGGCCTCTTCAACGCCCCCCGTAGCCTGTGTCGTGGACGCCGCCATTAGTCAGTCTGGTCTCTGGGTCCCGGCGGAACCGGAAGTCGGGAGTCGGAAGCCGGCTTGCGAGCTGCACGGGCACCAGCGCGCGTGCGTTGAATGGCAAAGGCGGGTGGGTCTGAAGGCTGACGTCCGCGGGGAGAGCGCTGCCAGCCGGCCTTGCGTTGCTTTGTCGAACCCTCACCACAGCCTAGGCGGTGGTGAGTAATATCCCATTTTACAGGTGAGGAAATGAGGGCAGAGAGGTTAAGTGACTTGCCCAAGCTGACAGTTTCAACTTGAGGTACCCAGAACAAGAAGTTTGTTGGGATGTTGGAAATAAATTTTGATCAGCTACATTCCTTTACAAGTGCATTAAGTGAGATCCAGAGGGTAGAAATTACTTACCCAGAGCCACGCAAAGAATCTGTGATACAGGAACGTGCGCCGGTTCATCCCATGGTTCCAGGAAAAGGTAGCCAGAAGCTTCGGGTCACTTGGAAGTGTCAGAAGACCAAGATGGCTCTGACTGCCAAGTGAGTCAGGTGGAAAGGGCCAACTGTAAGTTGTGAGCTCCTTGAGAGGCAAGGACCATCCTTAAGAGCCAGCACTTGAGAGTGCTTATCAGGTGCCAAACACTTGACTAGGACCTCTACATATATTCTTTCAATCGTCATATCACTCCTGTGAAGAAAAGACCGTAGTTATCCCTTTTTTATATATGAGGACAGTGGGTTACAACCAATTTGTAACCTGCTCAAGGTCATGCAGTTAGAAATGATGGTACCAGGATTTGAACCCAGGCAGTCTGGTTCCAGAGGATGTGCTTGCAACCATTATGTTATTCCCAGCCTTGAATCCCCTATACCCACCATAATGCCTGGCCCAAAGATGCTCAATAAATATTTGTTGAATGAAAACTCAGTATTGATAAATGGCGCTGGGAAAACTGGATACTCATAAGCAAAATAATGAAAGTGGACCCTTAACCTTACACAAAAATCAGCTCAAAATGGATTAAGAACTTAAATGTAAGACCTGAAACTGATAGCTAGAAAAAAAAGGAAACACTGATCTTGGCAATGATTTCATGAATATGACACCAAAAGCAGAGACAACAGAAGCACAAATAGACAAGTGAGATGACATCAAACTAAGAAACTTATGCACAGCAATGAAATCCATGGATAGAGTAAAAAGACAACTTAAAGAATGGGAGAAAATATTTGCAAACCATAGATCTCGTAAGGAATTAATTTCCAAAGTGTATAAGGAACTCCTATAACTCAATAGCCGGAGAACTAATAACATAAATAAAAACTGGGCAAAGGATTTATTTTTTTTAAAGATTTTATTTATTTATTTGATAGAGAGAGACACAGTGAGAGAGGGAACACAAGCAGGGGGAGTGGGAGAAGGAGAAGCAGGCTTCCTGCTAAGCAGGGAGCCTGATGTGGGGCTCGATTCCAGGACCCTGGGATCATGACCTGAGCTGAAGGCAGATGTTTAACAACTGAGTCACCCAGGAGCCCCTGGGCAAAGGATTTAAATAGACATTTCTCCAAAGGAAAGCATACAAATGACCAACAGGTATGTAAAAAGACACTCAATGTTACTAATCATCAAGGAAATGCAAATCAAAACCACAATGAGATACTGCCTCACATATGTTAGGATGGTTATTATCGAAGAACAAAAACAAAGACAAGTGTTTTGGCAAGTATGTGGAGAAAGTGGAACCCTTGTACATTGTTGGTGGGAATGTTAAATGGTGCAGCCTCTATGGAAATTCTTCCAAAAATTAAAAATAGAACTGCCATATGACCCAGCAATCCCATATCTGGGTATTTATCCAAAAGAATTTAAATCAAGTTCTCGAAGAGATAGTAACACTCCCATGTTCATTGTAACACTCTTCACAAGAGTCAAGATGTGGAAACAAGTGTCCATTGAACAGATGAATAGATAAAAGAAATGTGGTATTGTATACAATGGAATATTATTCATCTTAAGAAAGAAGGAAATCCTGGCCTTTGTGACAACATGGATGAAACTTGAGGACATTTTGCTAAGTGAAATAAGGCTGTCATGGAAGGCCAAATACTTCATGATTCCACTTATGTAAGGTATCTAAAATAGTCAAATTCATGGAAACAAAGAATATAATGGTAGTTGCTAGGGACTGGGGGGAGAGTGATAGGGGGAGTTGCTAATCAATGGCTGCAAAGTTTCAGTTATGCAAGATGAATATCTGAGATCTGTTGTACAATATTGTGCCTGTAGATAACAATATTGTGCTGTACACTTAAAAATCTGGTAAGAGGATAGATCTCATATTAAGTGTACTTACCACATGAAGTAAAATTTAGGAGAACAAAAACAAACTCAATAGAAGCTGCAAGTAGATGACTAAAGCCAGGTTTGTTTTAGGAAAATTAGAATGGAAGGAAGAAAGGAGCTGAACTGAAACAGACAAAGTGGAATGGAGGTAGGCAAAATATGGGCTGAGCCAGAGGTAGGAAAAGAACAGAGCTGGTAAGGAGAGAGACCAAGGGGTTAGCCCAGGTAGCAGTTTCCAGTTAGAAGCCAGGATAGCCCAGAATATCCAACAGGTTCAGCCAGGGGTCAGCAGAGTTGTGTTGACCTCTCCCCACCTGGCCTGCCATCTTAAAAGGCCTCCTGCTACATGAAGCCAGTGGCTTGCTGAACTTCTAAGGAACTGAAGTATGACCTCTGCAGGTCGTGTTATCTGCCCGTAAAATTTTAAGCGGCAGAGGTTAAAATGGGCCCTGTCTCTTGCCCTCCCAGTTTGTACTTCATACTTCCATCTCTGCCTGATCTATTTGGGGACATAAGTTAAAGACCAAAAGTCATAGTGGAATTGAGTAAGCCACAGTACTCTGAACAACTTCCAGAAAAAGTTCGGGGTGGAACAGCAGCCCTGGTACCATTTCTCTCCCCAGTGTTTTGACAGATTTTGGTGAGCCGAACTTACCTCCTTTTGTCACTAGATGGCGCTAGCACAAACCCTTGACCACCCTTAATTTTCAAGGCGCTGGAATCACCTTACTTTTGTAAACGCTTTTTGTTTGCTTTTTTAAACACAGTATATATTATTGCCAGTAAGGTGTTTGATTTCATTAAGGACATGGGCATGTTTTTGAGTTTTTGAAACACTGTTCACCAGAAAGATAAAAAAGTCACCAGGTCTAGATGGGGAATGGCAGGCTCCTCCTCATCCTGGGATCCTTGAGAAGCAAAGATAGAGGTGGGTCTGGTAATGTTACTGGGGACCTAAAATACCTCAGAGGTGAGCCCATAAAGAGGCATTTTAGTTTGATCCACTTTGGTGACTTTTTGAACCTGTGTCCATTTTTTATTTTTGATTGGCCCAGGTGACCTGACAATACTCAGCTCCTGGGCTTGGGGCCTGAGTCACCCCAACACCTCAAATAGCTATAGCGCACCTAGGAGCATGCTCAACACTGCAGTTGGCCAGGTTTTGTGGAGCCTGATGCTTATACAATTGTGGGGGTGGATGTGCTTGGTGGGTGGGGGATGGCCTAGATGAGGGATGGGGATTAAGGAGGGCACCACTGGGTGTTCTATGTAAGTGATGAGTCAGAAACCACTATTGCATGGTATGTAAACTAACTAGAATTTAAATAAAAATTTTTTTAAAAGATTACAAATACAGAGACATGTAAAAGTGAATATTTATTTACAATGAGGAAATAAATCACAACAAATTACACATTTTTATTTTTTTTAAAGATTTTATTTATTTGAGAGAGCATGAGCAGGGAGAAGGGCAGAAGGAGAGGCAGACTGCCCGCTGAGCAGGGAGCCCGATGCGGGGCTCGATCCCAGGACCCCAAGATCATGACCTGAGCCAAAGTCAGACACTTAACCGGCTGAGTCACCCAGGTGCCCCCAAATTACACATTTTTAAAAGCTCTGGAATTTTAGCTCATACATGAAAGAAACTTGACCAAGTTTTTCCCCAGTTTGATGACAAACTAAATTTACATGACATTGCCAATAACAAATTGTGAACCTGAAAGAGACTTTTCTAAATGATCAAATAATAAAAGGCAAATTTGGGTGTGCCTGGGTGGTGTAGCTGGTTAAGCATCCAGCTCTTGGTTTTGGCTCCAGTTATGGGACTGAGCCCTGCGTCGGGCTCCACCCTCAGTGCAAAGTTGGCTTGGGTTTCTCTCTCCCTTTCCCTCTGCCCCTCCCCGCAAATAAGCAAATCTTAAAAAAAAAATAAAGGGCAAATTTAATCTGCCATGCTAAGAAAATACTGAATTATCTTTTTTGTCCTCTCTAAAAAATGGTATTATTAAATCATTGCCATATGAAGAAGCAACCAAAGAGTATGTAGCCAAAAATGTAAGAAAAAAGTAATATTCAAGTGTGACTAGCATTTAATTCATCAAATTATAATGGGAGTTTTTTGTGATATTTGTGGTATTTGTCAGCTTTTAAAATTTTTCCTGTGCAAAGACTAATCTTAGATATACTCTTCAAATTGATTACATTTACTAGCCAATTTGCCTTTGAAAACCTCATTATAATTGGTGTATTATGAGTTTTTTATTATCTGCTTTGATCTTGGTAATTTGTGTCATCAAAAAAATATGAAGATAAGAATTCTTAGAAATTGTATCTTGAACAGTTCCCATCAAAAAAGAAAAGAATGTATGGTACATTTATAATGATATACTATGTTATTGAGTATATTGCCAACAGGACAAAACTTACTTTGACTAGATGTCAATATGGGCAGAATCCTCTGCTTATATTTTTGCACAGCTGACAATTGGAAGAATTTTCTTCAGACTAGCTTCTGGCTTCATACATCTTCTAACCCTTATTTTTTCCTCCACTCCTGCATACTTCTGGTACCAGGTGCTAAATGTAGGACAGGTTTAGATCTTGATTTGAACTCTGGCCTTGCACCTCTAGGTCATAATAGTGGTGGATAAGAGACTTCTAGAATTATTCCTTCAGCAGGTAAAAGTTCAGCTATGCATGGAAGTAATTTTAAACCATGTGAATAGATCCTAAATGGAATGTATCTCCAACTAAACTTCCCCTTAGCTGGATTCCAAAAATGCCTGTAGCCATTCCAATGCCATTTAACATAAGGGCAAATGTGAAGGAAGGGACATCAAAGTGGAAATCCAAGTTTTAACCACCTGTACTTAAAATATCATATTTTTTCAAATTTTACAAAAACAAATGACCCTGTAGACACATTTCTAGGGCCTTAGAAGTGTTCTATTAGTAAATGAGGACCCTGAAGCTTGAGCTTCATTAGCTCCATGGCAAATTCATCTCTGCCCTGCACAGAACATATACCCAAGAACAGTTAAAATGCAGAGGTGTGTATATATAGAACTGGAATTATATAAGTCAGGAACGATTGACATGTATAATGGTTTCTATGGCTTCCTAAGGAACCTTGTGCAGCTGATGTCTTGGCCCATGGTCTAGTCCATCTTACTCTCCCTTCTTTCCCTTTCAAATCATGCCCTAGAGCCCCTGCTCCCTGCTTTTCCACCTCACTCACTGCCTCCATTTGGGGGTCAGAGGGCCTCAGGACTGAGGGTTAATCAGGAGTCTGTGTATATTTTAAAATATCGAGTCTATTTTCTCACTCCAGAAACTCCAACAAGGGACTTCTGTCTGGACTTTTGGAACACAACCCATCTGTAAATGGAGAACTTACTCCTTATTGTAGTTGAGAAATTCTATAATTAGTCCTTGCAGAGTTTTAAACCACTTGGAAACAATAACCATACAATTTATAAATGGAGTGTTATAGCTGAAACGCAACCAAGAGAACCCCTATTTTGAACCCCTTATTTTCTGATGAGGAAACTGAGATCCAGGAGGTAAAGGCAGTTTCTCCAAAGACAGAGCCAAATTGGTCAGGGCAGGCTAAATGCTGTAACAAGTAACCCCCAAATCTCAGTACCTTACCATAATATAATAAAGGGTTATTTCTCCCTCGTTGTCACAGTCCATTGTGGGTCAGTGGGGAAGAGGGGAAGGGCTCTAAATATACTAAAAAATATTACTTCGTACACTTTAAATGGGTGAACTCTACGTTATGTAAATTGTATCTTAATCTGTTTAAAAAAGAAAAAAATTGAACAAACACCATATGACCCAAGCCATCACACTCCTGGGCATTTATATTAGAGAAATGAAAATTTATATCCACACAAAACCTTTACATGAATGTTCATAGGGCTTTATTTTTTTTTTAAGATTGTATTTATTTGAGAGAGAGAGAGAGAGACAGAGAGAATGAACAGGGCAGAGGGGCAGAGGGAGAGGGAAAAGCAGACTGCCCACTGAGCAGGGAGCCCCACATGGGGCTTGATCCCAGGACCCTGAGATCATGACCTGAGCTGAAGGCAGACGCCCAACCCAGGGCACCCCAGGGCTTTATTTGTAATAGCCAACAATTGGAAACAACCAAAATGTCCTTTAATAGGTGAATGGTTAAATGAAATGTGGGACAGCTGTAGCATTGACTATTATTCAGCAAAAAAAAAAGAACAAACTGCTGATACATGCATTAGCTCAAATGGATGTCAGAAGCATTATACTGTGTGAAAAAAAAAATCCCTGCAAGATAAAAACTATATGATTCCATTATATAACATTTTCAAAATGGAAAAAACAATTACAGAAGATGGAAAACAGATTAGTGGTTGCCAGGGATGGTCGGGGTGGATGTGACCATAAAGGGATAGCTCAGGGAAGATGTTTGTGACGATGGAATGGTTCTGTGTCATTTTTTGTTGTTGTTGTTGTTCTGTGTCTTGATTGCTGTGGTAGTTACATGAATCTGCATGTGTGATAAAATGTCACAGAACTATATACACACATACCAGTGTTAATGTCCCAGTTTGGGTAGTGCATTATAATCACAAAAAATGTAATCATTGAGGGAACCTGGTGAGGGGTGTATGGGACCTCACTGCACATATAATTATTTTAAAATAAAAAGGTTTTTTTTAAAGATTTTATTTATTTATTTGACAGAGAAATTCTGAAGGAAAGTTATTTCCAAACTTTCATTTGATACACAGCCAAATGATGAATTGTGAACACAAAATGAAGACACTTCTAGACATGCAAGAAACCAAAAGTATTATTTCCCATCAACTCTTTCTCAGGAAGTTGTTGGGAAAGGTTTTCCACTAAAATGAGTAGAAAGCCCGAGAAAGGGAAGTTCATGGGATCTAGAATGCAGGTTTCCAACAGAGGAGGGTGGTGAAGGGGATTCCCCAGGATGGAGGTGAGGAGAGATGCCCGCGTAACAGCTGCACAACAGAGCTCCGGAGCATCCAGTGCAGGCTAGAGAAGTCAGAAGATTTGGAAAGACGATATGGTGTCAGCAAGATGAAATGAAAGAACATCTAATATATTTGAACATACTGGGAGGATATTTACCCACTTAAGGTGGTGAAGAAAAATAATAAGGACATAGGAAAGTAAATGTACAAACAACTAACAATAACTGATTAATCTCCAGAAAAGCAAAACGTTGTGCAAGAAAGGAAAAGTAATCACCATATACTACATAGGCCTGTGGTCAACAGGGTTTACAGTCTTAATATGTAAACATTCAATATTGATCAACTCATAATTATTGATATAACCATATCAGAAGGACCCAGGGAGTGGGTGGAAGAGGAAGAGAGAGAGAGTGTGTGTGTGTTTGCATGCCCTGATTTCCATCTCTCTTTCCCAGTTTTGTTTTTTTTTTTTTTTGTATTTATTTATTTGACAGAGAGAGACACAGCGAGAGAGGGAACACAAGCAGGGGGAGTGGGAGAGGGAGAAGCAGGCTTCTCTCTGAGCAGGGAGCCCGATGCGGGGCTCAATCCCAGGACCCGGGATCATGACCAGAGCTGAAGGCAGATGCTTAATGACTGAGCCACCCAGGCGCCCCTCCCAGTTTGTTGTGAAAACTTTGTTTTTCCCTCTGACTGCCCTTTTATTTTCTTCTTCAAACTAATGTATTTCCCATGCTTTCAATAATGCACATGTATTAGTTTTTATATTCAAAAAGAGAAAAAACCAACACAGCTTATTACAAAGAAAAGGTCAGGAATGATGTCTCCAAGCATCCTCAGCTCCCATTCTTAATGCACTATGGACTTAGCATCTGTAAATTTTTCTAAATGTTATTTGAACCTATGTACAGTTTCAGCATGTACCACTGCTCGGGCATAATGAATTTCATAAGATTACCATGCTATGCAAGGAATTCTTTTATAGAATCATAGAATCCTACCTTTTCATTTACCATCTTTCAAATCCAAGGGGTTCCCTACAGTCAAGGGTTTTGTAAGGTGTGTTTAGGACAGTGTGGCTGAGGTAAGGTCTGTGAAGGGAACAGAGGCTAGAGGCCTGGGGTGCTTTGAAGTTAGTGGAGGCAGAGGAGCTGGTGAAAAAACCAGGAAGAGAAGATGAAGACCCACCTCCTCTCCCCTACTAAGGACACAAAGGGAAGACAGATCTGACTGGCAGGCTCCCTGGTGCCTCCTGAAACATGAATATGCAAATGACTCGCCTGAACCTCTTGTTAAAGTGCAGATTCTGATTTGGAGGTCTGAGGTCTACATTCTTTTCTTTCTTTCTTTTTTTTTTTTTTTCCAGAGAGAGAGAGCATGTACTCTCATGAGTGGGAAGGGAGGAGGGGCAGAGGGAGAGAGAGAAAGAATCTCAAGCAGGCGCCATGCTCAGCAAGGAGCCTGACCCGAGGCTCCATCTCTGAGATCATGACCTGAGCTGAAATCAAGAGTCAGACGCTTTTTTTTTTCTTTAAAGATTTTATTTATTTTTCAACAGAGAGAGAGAGAGAGACAGTGAGAGAGGGAACACAAGCAGGGGGAGGGGGAGAGGGAGAAGCAGGCCTCCCGCGGAGCAGGCAGCCCAATGCGGGGCTCGATCCCAGGACCCTGGGATCATGACCTGAGCCGAAGCAGACACTTAACGACTGAGCCACCCAGGCGCCCCAAGAGTCAGATGCTTAACCAACTAAGCCACCCAGGCGCTCCTGGGATCTGCATTTCTGACAGGCCCCCAGGTGATGCCAGGCTGCTGGCCCATGGACAATGTTTTGAGTGCCTAAGATGATCTGCAAGGTCCTCTAAAAACTGACCTGTTTCTTCAGCTTCCTCTCCTCCACCCGCTCCCCACCCCATTCTAATGTCTCTGTTGCAGTCATGCTGAACCACTCAGAGTCCCTAATGTGCGGGGTGGGGGCTCCTGTCCTTGCACAGGCTGTTCCCTGGGCCTGGATTCTACCCTCCCCCTGCCCCCCATGATTGCTACTTTCCTGAGACCCAGCTCGTGTGTGTCCTCTTCTGTGAGACATCACCACCCACTCTTCTTCAGAAAGAGTATTTCTCTCCCTCTACCTAGATGTGTGTCTATTACTGCCTTTCTCATACAAGATTGCAATTTTTTATTTACTCTGAACTTACTGAAGGAAGTGACCCTGTCCTGTCTTTTGTATCCCCAGCATCTGGTACAGTGCTGGCAGCTACATAAATGCCACCTAACAGAATTAATGCTTGTTTTATAAAGAAGGAATAGATTCTCAACAATGTAGTTTTACATTTTTTTGTTTTACAAAGAGGACCAAAAAAAAAAAAAAAAAAAAAAAGACTGGGAAAGGATACTCAATGCACGAAGTAGGTGATACTTGGTAACTGTCAATACTGCCAGTTTCCTTCCCATCTGCCTTCCCTTTCTCCTTTCCTTCTTTCCAATCATCCTTCCCTCTTTCCCTCTTTTTTCTGTTGATTCTTTGAATTTTTTATTATTTATTTTTTTTAAAAGATTTTATTTATTTGACACACAGAGAGAGAAAGGGCACAAGCAGGGGGAGCGGCAGAGGGAGAGGGAGAAGCAGGCTCCCCACCGAACAGAGAGCCTGACATGGTGCCCCATCCCAGGACCCCAGGATCATGACCTGAGCTGAAGGCAGATGCTTAATTGACTGAGCCACCCAGGTGCCCCCTTTTTATTTTTTTTTAAAGATTTTATTTATTCATTTGAGACAGAGAGAGAGAGAGAGCATGAGCCGGGGAGGGACAGAGGGAGAGGGAGACATAGGTTCCCTGCTGAGCAGGGAGCCTGACACGGGGCTTGATCCCAGGATCCTGGGATCATGACCTGAGCTGAAGACAGACACTTAATCATCTGAGCCACCCAGGCGCCCCAATTCTTTGAAATATTTTTTAAAGATTTATTTATGTATTTGAGAAAGAGAGAGTGAGCAAGGGGAGGGGCAGAGGGAGAGGGAGAGAACCTTCAAGCGGACGCCCGGCTGAAGGCAGAGTCCGACATGGGGTTCTATCCCAGGACTCTGAGATCATGACCCTGAGATCCTAACGTGAGCCAAAATCAAGAGTCGGCTGCTCAACTGACTGAGCCACCAAGGTGTCCCTATTCTCTGAATTTTTCTTTTTAGTATACTTCATTATACAAGTTACATAATTTTTCAGTATAGAAAACTTAGTAAATCTAGATAAACCACAAGAAAAGACCTGAAGTCTTATGCACCACCTGGAGATAACCACAATTAACATTTTGATGTATAGCCATCTAGATTTTTTCTTATCCATAAGTGTACATAAAATGTATGTGTGTATCTATATATTTAATTAACATTAAACAAATTAACTTTTAAAATAGTACTCACTGAAATGCAACTGTGGGCATAACCTCCTTTGGAGATAACACCAGAAGCCTGCATTTTGGAACATTTTAAAAAATTTTAGATCTTTTTTTGTACTGTTTTTAGTTTTAATTCCAGTGTAGTTAAGTACAGTGTTATGTTAGTTTCAGGTGTACAATCTAGCAATTCAACAACTCTACATTATTCTGGGCTCATCATGAGTGTACTCTTTAATACCCAATCACCTGTTCACTTGAGAACATTTTTAAGGACTATAAGCCAATTAGCTTGTGGCATATCCCTCAATTTGGTTTTGTCTAGTGTTTTCTCATAAGACTCAGGCTTTGAGTTTTTTTGGTAGGAATTACAGGGGCAGAATGTGTCCTTGTGAGTACATCACATTGGAAGAGACACATAGTGCCGATTATTTGGTCCCCCCAACCTCCCCCCAACCACACACACACCAGGCCTTTATTCAAGCTGTTCCCTCTGTCGGAATGGCCCTCTTCTCTCTTGCCTGCTTGACTAAAATTTGCTCCTCCTTTAAGACCCAGCTCAAAGTTCTCGGAGAAGACTTTCCTAACTCTTCATCTAACTACACTAGTGTGGCACTTACCATGTGACAATCACTTCCCTGTCATCTCCGTACCTGACGGAGCTCCCTGACAACAGGCTCTCTGTCTTAAGGTGGTGGATATGTCATTCAGCATTCTCCTGGGAGCCATACTCTGGTTTTCCTTTGGGGAAATAGCCCTCATTTTCCCTATCCCCATCCATGAGTGCAGCTTAGGGCTGAGTATATGACCTGGGTCCAGTCACTCGGTGCCTTCCATCCCAGTGCCAGAGGGATTGGTCTAGTGAAGAGCTAGCTTCCGAATCAAGGAGGTCCCATCAGGGTCAACCAGGACTTCTGTCAGAATTGCTGCACCAGAGAACTCATGGAACACACACAATAGCCCTTCCATCACATTCCATTAGTCAAAGAACTGTGCTCATTGTGTTAAACTGCTCCATTCCACCCCCTGGCCTCATGCCCCTCCCAAGATCTCCCAAAGTTTCATTCCCCTACTACATCAGGTTTAGGCTTGAGGTCCAGAATCACATCTAAATCAAGTGTATGTGCATGTGAGGCTCCTCAGGTTTGGTTCCTTAGGTAAGGCTGTTCTCAATCTGAACTAAATGTGAACTAAAGACATATAAATATATGTCTTATTAAATAACTAAAGTTATTTACCTGCATCCACACACACACGGCATATAATAGCAGGACAGACATAGGTCCAAAGGCCTCTTCATTTTGTACTATTTCCTCTCCCTTTCAGGTTGAGCTGGTGGTGCTTCTACCAATACAAAGCTTTTTTTTTTTTTTTTTAAGATTTATTTATTTATTTGAGAGAGAGAGAGGGAGAAAGCCAGAGAGCAGGGTGGGGGAGCGGCAGAGGGAGAAGAGAATCTCAAGCAGACTCTGTGCGGTGTGCAGAACCCCACCCCAATATAAATCTTAAAAACTCTGGTTTTTCGGGGTGCCTGGGTGGCTCAGATGGTTAAGCGTCTGCCTTCGGCTCAGGTCATGACCCCAGGGTCCTGGGATCGAGCCCCACATCGGGCTCCTGGTTTAGCGGGGAGCCTGCTTCTCCCTCTCCCTCTGCCTCTCTCCCTGCTCATGCTCTCTCTCTCTGTATCTCTGTGTCTCAAATGAATAAATAAAATCTTAAAAAAACCCAAAAAACAAAAAACAAACCTCTGGTTTTTCTATGAATCTTACTGGGGCACAGTAACAAGCTTCATTAGACAAGTTGCACTCATAAATCTAAGGCAAGGCCTCCTGTCTTGGGCCCCCAGGGAAACTGCTGAAGGCTAGTATCTTTAAGATCGTGAGAAGCCCTATTGTTTAGCAGAAGGCCTGTGCAATAAACACCTTTAAGACTCTTAGGAGTACTTCCGTCTGTTGGAAAGAGTCTATGAAGGCCCCATCTTAGATCTTTCTGAGGTCTTAACAAAGGGCTTTGTAATCACACTTTTGTCCTTGTCTTTACCAGGAGACCGTGTTTTCCTGATAGTGTCCTGGATTTGATTTTTGCTATTGGGCCCTTTATTACTTTGAGAATTCTTTGCTGGCTCGAAAGACTCTCATGGAGCTTTTTATGTCTCCTCCAAATTCTGCTTAAAAACAGAATAAAAAGGGGGCGCCTGGGTGGCTCAGTTGGTTAAGCGACTGCCTTCGGCTCAGGTCATGATCCTGGAGTCCCAGGATCGAGTCCCGCATCAGGCTCCCTGCTCGGCAGGGAGTCTGCTTCTCCCTCTGACCCTCCCCCCTCTCATGCTCTCTCTATCTCATTCTCTCTCTCAAATAAATAAATAAAATCTTAAAAAAAAATAAAACAACAGAATAATTCGGGGCGCCTGGGTGGCTCAGTTGGTTGGGCGACTGCCTTCAGCTCAGGTCATGATCCTGGAGTCCCAGGATCGAGTCCCGCATCGGGCTCCCTGCTCAGCAGGGAGTCTGCTTCTCCCTCTGACCCTCCCCCCTCTCATGCTCTCTCTATCTCATTCTCTCTCTCAAATAAATAAATAAAATCTTTAAAAAAAAAAAAAGAATCTGGGCTTAACTCTGGGAGAGCTGGAGGGAGATGGGAGGTGGGAAATGGGGGTCCCCATCATTAAATAATCAGCATAAGTACGCCTGCCTGAGACACAGCACAGAAGCAGTAGTTTGAAAAGTGCCTGGGGTATATGAGAAGGAGGGAAGTTTATTTACTAAAGGGGCAGGGATCTTTGAGAGACTTCTCCAAGAACAAAAGTGATGGCAGGTGCCACTTCTCTTCCTCTTCGCCAGCCTACAGAGCTGACACTTGCAGGAGCCAGCGCTAACCTTATTATTAGCGCCATGTGCCACACCCCTGTGTTTTTCCAGCACACACGCCCTATCCATCTGCATACCTCAGAAGACACCCCTCTAAGGCAGCTCATGCCCCACCACACCTTGCAAGCAGCCCCAGCAGAGACCGAAGCTACTCCAAAGTGACTCCTCCTCTGGGGAGGGGGCAGATAACCGCACACACCAGCATGCGCACTTCCAGCAGCAAGCTGAAGTGTCATACATAGAAGCAGACAGGAGGAGAGGTTAAAATGCAGCTGGGGTGGTACAGGGGAGGGGGGCTCCGAGGAGGGGATGGCCAGGGCACCTGGGGGAGGGACTGAGAAAGGCTTCATGGGAGAGGTGACCCCTAAAGCTATTGCTCTTGGGGATCCTTCCAGCTACAACATAGGCTTTCCTTCTAGGGACACAGGTTTGGGGTCGACATAAGGAAGGCTCTTCTAACAGAAGTAGAAGAGGGGCACCTCCAGCTGGGCGGTGACAGGTGCAAGCATCCAAAGAGCCTCTGCAAAGGGTATATATTGACAGGAGGACCTGTGTTTCTTTTCTTTTCTTTTTTTTAAGATTATTTATTTATTTATTTGACAGAGAGAGACACAGCAAGAGAGGGAACACAAGCAGGGGGAGTGGGAGAGGGAGAAGCAGGCTTCCTGCTGAGCAGGGAGCCTGAGATGGGGCTTGATCCTAGGACCCTGGGATCATGACCTGAGCTGAAGGCAGACGCTTAACGACTGAGCCACCCAGGCGCCCCGTGTTTCTTTTTTCTATTTTTTATTCATCTGAGAGAGAGAGAGGGAGGGAGGGAGCACGGGGGGGAGGGGCAGAGGGAGATTGAGAAGCAGACTCCCCGCTGAGCAGGGAGCCCGACTCCAGGCTGGATCCCGACTCCAGGCTGGATCCCAGGACCCTGGGATCAAGACCTGAGCTGAAGGTAGCCGCTTAACCATCTGAGCCACCCAGGCGCCCCCAGTGTTTCTTTTTCCCCATCAAGGTAAGTGTGGAGATTTAATTCACACTTAGCTATGCTGGGAGAAACAGCTCTGGTGTGAACCTTTCACATCGAATCTGAGTTAAACCTCACACGGACTCCCCAGCCATCTGAGGTGACAAGCAAAAGGCAGGCGAAGGAAAGGGTTCAGGTGTCATAATTTTATTCTTAGCTCCTGTCAGTCACGGACCGGGAAGGCGAGGCCAAGGAAGGGAACAGGCGCGGACCCTGGGCAGCTTGGAGGAGCTGAGGCCAGAAGGGCTGTGAGTGGCGGTAGGTCTCTGCCCTCAGTCACTTGGGAGAAAGCTCTGGGGCCCGGGCGGCGCAGGGTAGATTCCAGCAGACAGAGATGTGACAACGACTGGACTAAGGGGAACCATCGGAGGCTGATGAGGAGGGAGGTCTGGGGAGGTCTGAGAAGGGTCACGAATGAAGGCCAGATCCTGCCTGAAACCTCAGGCCATACAGCCCACCTGCTTTCCGCCTGCAGAACCAGGCCCTGCTTTTCCTCCGGCAGCCACTGCGGGGCAGCAAAGTGCTTGCGTGAAATCAGCCCACAGGGAGCTCTGCTCCGTCCTGGCCTCGTCCCAGGAGGGTCGGGGAGGGAGAGGCAGGGCCTTTTTGAAATCGGGGTATTCTGGTGAATTCTGGTGTCTGATTCCCAGTCAGAATCCTGGTTGGTTGGTTCCTGACTCCCCCGGGAGGAAGAATCAAGATTCCTGGGGCTTCCTCAGGTGACAAAGGAGCCACACACGTGCCTGGGAATTGGGGCAGGAGTCTGGGGAATTCCATGTGCCCCGGGGACCCCAGCTGCAATCCCAGCAGAGGATCTCTTGATCTGTCTTCCTCTTGGCAAGAAACCTCCGGCCTCCCATCCCAGATGGTCAGATTCCTGGCTGCCTTGAGCTCTATAAAATCCAACCTACCCCTTCCTGGGCCCAGCCCCACCCCTGCCAAACATGTGAGGGGCCAGCAGGTTCTCTTCCTCCTCTGCAGATTGTGGCACTTGCTCAGCTTGGGATTCTCAGTTTCTCCTAATCCTGCATTCCTGTTCCTCCGCCCTTCCTCCTTTGCACGCCCCAGCCAGGTGTTCCTGGGGCTCCTCCTGGCCTCGGTGCAGGTGGAAGGCACGGCCCCCAGCCCTGGCTCTGCTGCCGGCTCGGCATGTCCCGGATCCCTCACAGGACCCAGAGCAGGAGGCTCTGCGGCATATTCTCGCTGCTTTGAGAATGCCCAAGTGGCCCTGTCAGGTTTGTTGCTGAGGGCTTACCTCCTCCCTGCAAGCTTTCGGAGCTCAGCCTTGGATTTAAGCTTCTCAATCCTATTTCTGCATCAACTGTCCTAGGAAGAAGAGGACTTGGACAAGAGGATTCTGGGAAGCATGGCCAAGGCCCGGGCTGAGTGAGCCCTTTGGAATTGGGGCCAGAGATTAGGAGAGGAAGTGAAGGGGCCTTGGAGGAAAGGTGGCAACCAGACCAGGAAGTCAGTGGAAACAAGGGTTCTGGCGCCTCTCCCTCCACTGTGCAGACCGAGGTCTTCCATCTCGCTCAATACCATGACCCTGCGGCAGTGAGACTGGGAATCAGACACCAGAATCCTGCTCCCCAGCTTGTGTCTAAAAGGTGGAAATGACAGAGTACAAAATTTGGTGGTGGTAGTTGGGGGCAGGGGGGAGGCCAGGGGTGGCACAGAGGACAACAAATCTCCAAAGACATCAGGAGATGTCTGGCCTGACCACCTGGTCTCATTCTAGCCCCAACCTAGTAGGTTAGCTGTATGCCCTTGGTCTTGTTCCCGATCCTCTCCATCACCTCAGTTTTTCCCTCTGCGATTGGCATGTGCAGACTACTCCCTTTATAGGATTGCTTTAATGGATTAATTGGGCCCAGCACACAGTAGGCATCCAGCCATGCTCCCAGTTGCCTTTGTCTCATACACAAACACCACCATCTGTTTTTGCTTCCCTCTTTCCTCAAATGCCCAAGGTGGAACAAAACTTCAAAGGCTTCTGCAATATTTCTTGAAAGCTGAAAACAGGAAGGGTGGTCTGAAGGAAGAGTCAAAACAGATTGATAACGTACCTAGTCACTCTCTCCAAGAGCAAAAGAGCCCCCAGCATAGGGGAGAGAGGTGAGCCCAGAAGGGAGAGGCCAAGGGAAGGTCCAGGTATCTGAACCTCCCTGACCCCACCCGGTAACTTTCCACTGGCCCAGAGCCAGCTTTGAGGCGCCGGCTACACACTTCCCCCAGGTGTGGCCCCCTCGTCCCCTCCCCAGCAGGGCCTGCAGGGGGCTGGCTGGCTGACGCACACCCTGCCCAAGTCTCAGCTCTCAGCTGCCTGGAGGCTGATAAGGAGACCAGACCTCATCACATGGGACCAGCTGGAGGGACGGACTCTGGCTGAACAGCTTCCAAACTGGAGAGATAAGGAGATAAGGAATGGAGGGGGCTTAGGATTCCAGGCTGAGTGGCCAGAGAAGCCAGGGGGAGGGACATGGGCACTGCCAACTGAGGCCTCAGGAGGCCTGGCTTGGGGATCAGCCGGCACATGGCAGCAGGGGATGGGGGAGAGTTTAGGAAAGAAGTGCAGAAAGGACTCAGGGCAGGGCAGGATTGCCTCCTCGTGGGGCTGGTTCAGCAGCCAGTATAACCATCCCTCTCTCAGAGCATCCAATCCTCTAGGGCCCAAGCACTCCACTCAGCCTCAGGCCTAGGGTGGGGGACAACCCAGGGGCTCCAGAGAAGAGGGTGAGAGAAGGTCAGTCCTGCCAACCTCAAACGCCCCCCAGGGAGATGCAGGTCTGAGTGAATTGGTGCCACTTCAGAGCCCACGCCTCCCAGAGGGCTGCCTGCTCCCCCTTCCCTTACAACCCCTGGACAGGTCCCCACTTAGAAGCAGAGCCCCCTGCCCCCACCTCCTACCCCAGCAGTGCTCTGTCATGACCCAGGAGGGTAAACCAAGGCAAGTGCAGATGGCTTCCTGTCCCTCTCCCACGGGCCCCAGGGCTCAAGTGCCTAGAACAAGCTGCTGGTCTCAAAGCTGCGAGGATGGGCAGCCTGGGGCAACCATTCGGTCCACCCACATCCCCCACCTGCAAAGCAGCCTCACCTCCTCGCCCTGCTTCCTCCCACCCCCTTATAAGTGTCAATGCCTGATCTGGAAGGAAAGAACAGAGGGGTGGATTGGACAGAGGACAGTGTGCCCCAAGGTCACATAGCTGTGGCAGCCTTAGGAGGAACCTCAGTGGGGTGCAGGCTTCAGCTAGGCTTCCTGGGGTCTCTTTCCCACATCTGAAATCCTGCTGGTCCTCAAACCCAGGGGAGCCTCTGGCCTTGACTGTCCACTTTGGGAGATTAAGTGGGGGGAAGGGGCAGCACAGAGGGGGAGGGTGTGACCTTGGTTCCACAGGGCCCCTAATGCTTGGGTACGAGCTGCAGAGGGTGAGGATGAGCATCGGGCTGAGGGGAGGCCAAAGGATGGGCTGGCAGCTAGTTTTATATCTGGGCTTGCAGGAATACAGGGAGGGTCAGAGGACCAGCAAGGGGACATTATTGGAAGGAAGGAAGAAGGAAGGAAGGAAGGAAGGGCGGGCTCCTCATTCCCGGTTGGTGCCAAAAAGCTGCAGGAAGAAGGTGAAGATGTAGATGATGTCTAGGTAAATGTTGAGGGTTCCAAAAATATACTCCTCAGGGCTCAGTGAGTGGCGTCGGTTACCCATCAGCAACTGGGTGTCAAATGCCAGGAACTGAGAGAAGGGGGAAGAGAGAGAAGTCAGAAGGTCCAGCACTGTGTCACCGACCGAGGGGGCTCAGTGTCCCCATCCAGCCTCCCCCCTCCCCGATTTTGTTACCATCATCTGCTGCTTGGCTGCTCCGTGACCCTCCTGGAATGGCCCAGAATCTGGAACTTTCTCAACACCTCCCGTCCCTAATTAACACCTATTTCCCCAAGCATCTACTATGTGCCAAGCACAGGGAAATAGTCAAGAAAGACAGACAAGATCAGGCCTTAGAGTCTAGAGTGGAAGTAATCGTTAATATGAGGGAAACCAAAGAGAAATGGGAAGTGTCCCAGGAGGGTGGCTAATAATAAGGATCTTGACCTATGTGAGTGTGGCAGGGAGCTAGGGAAGGCTTCCTGGAGGAAGGGACCTTCAAGCTGAGGCCTAGTCTTCTCGCCATTGCCTCAGGGCCCTGCCTTAGAAGATGAACAAATGCTTCATTTAACAGTGAGCAGAGAATAGGCACTTACTCTGTGTTCTGTGGACATTAGCCCACTTAGTCCTAATAACATCCCTTGAGTAGGGATTATTCCTAGAGGAAACCATGGCCCAGAGACGTTAAGCTCTTGCCTGAGGTCACAGAGCTGGGAAGTGGCAAAGCTAGGATTTGAACCTGAGCAGTCTGGCTCCACAGGGCCCCACGCTCAGGCATTCTGTTCTGCTGTCTGTGAGCAGCACCAGTGGTTAATGTGTCTCCTGCCAGGAAACACTCTTTCCAGGGCACCTTCTTGGCCTAACAGACTATGAACAGTGATTCCCTTAGAGAGAGCTCCTCTCTGCCCCCCTCCTGCCCCCTCACCGGGCCTTCCTACTGTCTACACCAACTTAGCTATTCCCTGGGGTCCAAGCACAGGAAGCAGAACGCCCTAGAAATAGCATATGACGCTTCACAGGTACAGTGTAGTTTTCTGGGAGAAAAGAAGCCCAAATTTCCACCAGTATCTCAGAGGTTATGAACCCTGGCCCACATGGGTTTGGAATTCTTTAGATCCATTCACATTCTTGTTAACTGGGCTGTGCCCAGCTCTTCCGTCACTTGTGTGTGGAAGACCTATGTACCTTGAATCCTCTGGAACATTCATCATGCAATAAATATGTATGAGGCAAGAGTTGGTGCGAGCAACTTACTGGCAGAGACACCACCATGCCGTGCCTGCCTTCTGGGGCTCACCGCTTCGTGGGGTGACTACAATAAAACTCAGTAAATGCCATAATTAGGGCTGATTGAGCAGGAGGAAGGTGGCCCAGGAGAGATGACATTTTACCTGGGGCTGGAAGGACGAGTTGGAGTTTGCTAGACTGAGAAGGCCTGGGGAGGTGTGGGCCATGGTGGGGAAAGTGAGGAATTCAGCATGGCAGGAGCAGGGGGCAAGGGGACAGAGGGAGAGGGACTAGAGCCCAGGGGCCGGAGGCTCTGATAGGGAGCATCTCCAGCATATGGGACATCAAGGCATGACACCCTGGAAGGTGGGGGGGGTGGGGGTGATTATGAGCACGGGCTTGAAAGTCAGCCCGAACTGAATCCAGCCTCAGCTCCACTCCTCACTAGCTCCGGGACCCTGGGCAAGGCAGTCTCCCTGAGCCTGAGTCCACATCTAGAAAAGGGAGACGAGTGTGCTTGCCTCCTGAGGTTGCGAGAATGAGGATGCGCACAGAGTGCCTGGCCTGGTGCCTGACACGTGGCAAGAACTTAATGAATGCTGGCTGTTAATGTGGGCTTGTAGTTATTATCTGCAGAAGGAAAGGTGCCCCCGTGAGAACATGTCATAGGCTGCTGCTGAGACCCAGGGGTTTCCGGCGGCCCACCAAGGAGGCAGAAATGTTTCTAGGGGATGCTGTGTAGCCTTAACAGAAGGAATGGGGAGAGCCACAGTGGGGGCTGAGGGGGGCCTTGTGCAGCGCAGGTCAGGCTCCCTGAGCTCAGCAGCGTTGAGGGGAGGGTGCATGAGGACACAGGACTGGAGTCAGAACATTTGCATTTGAGCATTGTTTCCATCCCTCCGTAGCCATCACCCGCCTGACCTTAGTGTCCTCATCTACAAAATGGGACAGTGATAATGACCACACCACGGCGTGGTGTTGAGGGTAAACGTGTGACAGTGGATGTGACATCAGCATTATTATTCTCTCACTTCTTCTGCTCTGCTCTTTCTGATTTGGATTTGGATTCCCACGGAAGTTTTCCCCTCTCCAGAGAGAACGAGCAAGGAGAGGGACCTCCATGCTGCCAGCAGAAGTTAATAAATTGCTGATCTGGCTTATCAATCAGTGGCTTGCTTCGTTGATTTCTCAGAGCCCGGTCACCCCTGGGTGAGCTAATGAAACTGAATCTCTCAACCTAGAAGGCTTGGACCTGACCAGGTTCTGGGGGTGGCTCCTCCAGGGAGCACCCACCCAGGAGGCCTCCCAGAGCAGCCAGCAGGCTTTGCTCTTGCAGAAAAGAGGAATGAGATGATTTCTGCCCCTGCCTTTGACCTGTGGCCATGGATGCTTATCAACGTGGTGCACCTGGGATAGCGTGGCCCAGATTTCAACTGCACTGCCTGGTACCACCCAGCACTGCAGCCTCACACCTGCGAGTCAGCTGACGGCTTTCCGCTCATTTAGTCCCAACAGTATTGATCGAGCACCTACTAGGTTCCAGGGAGCTTGCCTTCAGACAGCCGGCGGTCTAATGAAAGCAAATTATCAGAGATTCCATTATGAGCATGCACTTACTGCAGGGGAAAGGAACCTGATAACCTTGGGTGATGGCGAGCTTTGTTAACTAACGTCTCGGTTTGGGAGCAGCTATGTTGGTCATAGTTAGCATCTTGGCAGCTAAGATCTTAGTTGCGAGCTAATAGCTGGGTTGACCGCTGACGCCTGAAAGGTCACAGGTGCTTGAGCTGGCAGCCACCTGAGCACGGGATGAGATGCTGCAGGAGGAGCACGCGGGAGGAGGGGCACGGCTCGGGGCCAAGAGGCAGAGGGGCACTAGGAGGCTACTAACTTACCTCTGAGGCGCCCTTTCACCCACTAATCCTTGATCTCAGCTCACTTCATAGGAGGTGGGTATTACTATCACTGTTTTACATACGAGGAAAGGCGTCTCGAGCAAGTGAGGGGCTTGCTGACGGTCACTTCCCTGGCGCTGGATGCAGACCATCGGTCTCCCATTTTGATAAAGAAGCAGGCCGGGGTGGCTGGTGGGGACGGGGCTGGGGGGGGCGGTCATTCACAGAGGACAGAGGAGCCAAAGGCCAACTTGCCTCGTCCACCCTGTTGGCCAGGCTGGGCCCAGTCAGGGCTCCCTGGCCACACTCCTGGCCTGAGGCTGCTGTGTCCAGGACCTCGGCTTATGTCTGCTGTCCTCCCAGAGGTGAGGCTGAGAAACACTGGGGAGCTGTGCCAGGCAGAGGCCCGCTCAGAGCCAGCAACAAACAGGCACTGAATACAAAAAGCTGGGGTTGCCATGTGTTGAATCAGCATAAAAAGATCACACGGCGACCGTGTCCATCCTACAGAAATGTCAGTGTTCAGTGTGCCAAGCAGCGCACGCCCAGGGCCACGTGCAGCGGTGCTGGTTCTGACAGTGAAGGGCTGGAAGCCCCAAACGCGCAACCGGGGTGGGTTAAGTAAACCGTGGGCAGCACCTACCGAGGCAGAAACATCCCTGAAATAGGCCGTCATGAGAAAAGAACAGGCTGCAGAAAAATCTACATCATAAAGTCCCCTTTCTGTAACAACAACAACAAAATGCCTGCACAAGACTATGTCATAGAGGCCCATATAGCATATACCTATAAAATGAATATAGAAAGGTCTGGAAGGAGAGACAATTGACCACCGCACTTACCACTGAGCAAGGTAGCGAAGGGCATGCAAGTGACATTTGCTTTATCTATATTAACTGAAATATATGAATGAATGTAATCATATATTATTTAATCGGAAATTTTGAAAAGAAGGATTAAGGTAACACACAAAAAAAGAGCTGGTGAACCTTTTCATTGAATCCTCACACAAGCTTCTAGGACAGGTGTTCCGTCATCATGTCCATCATGAAGCTGAGGAGTCTGGGGCACACAGAGTGTAAGTGACTTGCTCACTTCACATAGCCAAGAGGACAGACCCCAAATCCCGTTCTCCTTCCACCATGTGACACTGCTTTGGGGCGTATGTGTGTGTGTGTGTGTGTGTGTGTGTGTGTGTGTGGAAGGCTGGAAGTGGGGGGAAGAGAAGCACAAACAGAGCACAAGGCCAAGAGCGCTGTAGGCTTCCTGGGGGGCTGTAGGGAGCGCTGGGCCCACCTGGCCTGGGCCTGGGGGATTCTATAGATAGAGGCTGCCAGCCTTAAGCCCTTGTGTCCTTGGCCGGGATGTGGGACAGGATGAGGGAGTAGAGGAATGGAGGAGAGGCAGTGAGTGGAGACCTGGGGTCCACTGTTGCCTGGTGCCAACAGAAGATACTCGAGTGTCAAAAGTTTAAATGGCAAAACAGCATCTGCATGCAGCCCTGGGTCCTGGGGAGCACCTCCAGGTGGCCACTGGAGAAACAGGGTCTGGCAGGCACGTGAGCCAGAAAGCCTGCCCCAGGATAAAGGGGAGCAGTACATGAAAGTGTGTGAAAGAGCCCCTGTGTCGTCCTCTGAGGAAGGGCATGAGTGTAATACAGTGCTTAAAAACACGGGCTGGGGAGTCATGCAGACCTGGGTTCCAATCTTGCAACTGACTACTACTAACAGGTGATACTATTGATTAATCATGTGCCAGGCACTTTCTGAGTGCTTTGCATATATTAATTCACTTGCAAGTCACAACAACCTATGAGGTAGGTACTATTATTATCTGCATTTTAGAGAGAAGGAAACGGAAGCACAGGGAGGTGATAGAATTTTATCAGTCCACACAGCTAGAATGTGGCAGAGAATGGATTTGAACCCCAGGAGCTCTGCTCCAAAATGTGGTGCTCTGAGTTACAAG